TATCTTCCCAATAGGTATTCGGAAAGTTTTGAACAGGAAATGGGTGTGCCCCAAGGTAGTATTTTATCAGTTACTTTATTTAGTATAAAAATTAACAGCTTAGCAGAAGTGCTTAAAAATGATATGCATGGAAGTTTATATGTCGATGATTTTGTTCTTTGTTATAAATCCAAAAATTTGAATTATATTGAGCGAAAATTACAGTTTTGTCTAAATAAGATTCAAAATTGGGCTGATGTAAATGGATTCAAGTTCTCAAAAAGTAAAACCGCTTGTGTACATTTTTGCTCTAAACGGAAAGCTCATGACGAACCACGTTTGCAGCTAGATGGAAATCCTATAAAAGTAGTTAAAGAGATAAAATTTTTAGGTATAATTTTTTATAGTAAACTCTCTTTTGTATCACATATAAAAATGTTAAAAGAAAAATGTACAAAGGCATTAGATGTTATCAAAGTTATTTCAAATACAAAATGGGGGGCAGATAAAAATACTCTTTTAAAACTCTATCGCTCTTTAGTAAGATCCAAGTTAGATTACGGCTGTATTGTATATGGCTCTGCAAGAACTTCATACATAAAAGCTCTTGATGCAATACATCATCAAGGCCTTCGGCTGTGCTTAGGAGCTTTTCGAACTTCTCCTATGAACAGTTTATATGTTGAGGCAAACGAACCGCCTCTCGACCTAAGAAGAATTAAACTTACCTTACAATATATTATGAAATTAAAAGCAAATATTGAAAATCCTGCTTATAATTGTGTTTTTCATCCGCAGTACGAAGACTTATATCATAAAAGAAAATCATGTGTAAAACGCCTTGGTCTAAGATCTAAAAAACATATCAGAGATTCCGATTTACCTTTGGATATAATAAAGCCTACTACTTTCTCCGAAATACCGCCATGGAAATTTATAAATCCAATTGTAGATTTATCTTTAACTGAGTTTAAGAAATCAGAAACGAATTCTCTTGTTTTTAAACAAAAATTTGCCGAAATTAAACATTCTAAGAGTTCTACAGTCGAAATTTATACGGATGGTTCAAAGGATGAAAATAGAGTTGCATCAGCTGCAGTGATGGAAGGCAGTGTTTTCTCTACACAGCTTCCAAATGAAGCAACAATTTTTACAGCAGAAGCAAAAGCCATTCAACTTGCGTTTGAATATATCAAATCTTCTCGTGAAAACTTATTTACAATATTTTCGGACTCGCTCTCTTGCTTACAATCTATACAAAATAAGAACATTGATCAACCTTACATTTTAGATATATTAATTCAATATCATCATTTCGGGCAACAAGGTAAAACAGTTAACTTCTGTTGGATTCCGAGTCATATCGGCATCCCTGGAAACACTAAGGCCGACAATGCTGCAAAAACTGCACTTCAACATGAAATTACTTTATTTAAAAATTCCTTACACCGATTTGAAATATCTAGTTAAAATTTATGTTGATTCTCTTTGGCAAATATATTGGGATTTTTGTGATGAAAGTAAGCTTTATGCTATTGAAAACAAAGTTAACAGTTCATCTGACTTCGGTCTGAAACGTCAAGACGAAGTAATTATTTCAAGAATACGTATTGGTCATTCAAAAATTACACATGAATACTTACTGAATCGGGAGTCACAGCCAGAATACATATCCTGTGACTGTCCGATAACTAAAACCACATGCTTTTAGAATGTTCCGATTTTACGCCTATTCGAAGTAAACTTTTTGGTAATGTGAGAACGATGTATGAACTTTTTACAAATGTTAATGTTTATAAAATTTTAGAATATCTACAAGAAACTGATTATTACAGTAAAATTTAGAATAAAATAAAGAAAACAATTTTGATGAGAAATACATCTTCATAGATCAATTTAATTTTTAACAGTTTACATATTTTTAACAGTTTACATATTTTAAAATTTTAAGTCCGTCGGACGGGACATTAAATGGTGCCCCGTGTCAAGGATTACAACCCCCTTGGCACGAAAAAGATCGTTTCTCTGGATTTCGAAAAAGAGTAGGCTCACTGGGGGCCGCCAGAGAAACCAAAAACCTTTCATAAACCGAGTATTTAAAAAAAGTTATCAGTAGTATAAGGCGCCTAGATAGGGGGGTCAACTGAGTGCACTTTTGGGCCCTGGGGGGATGGGGGGGTCAACTGAGTGCACTTTTGGGCCTCTGGGGGGATGGGGGGGTCAACTCAGTGCACCCCCGGGGTCAAGGTCAGAGATCTGGAAAAACCCGCACGCGCTCTGCGCGTTCTGAGATATGAGATCTGGAAAAACCTGCACGCGCTCAGCACTCACCTGGAAAAACCTAGCCATTATGACGTCATACACTGTATAAGTATTGCATGTGTCTGACTTGAAGCTCATTCTGTTGTCAGTTCCATCACCTGTCGACATGGATTCTGCTATGAAAAAACTGTTACATGCCCAACAACTGATGAGATGGAGAAGACGGGCGAAAGAGTTAGAAAGAATTATTTACAACAATAAACACAGAGAATTAGTGCTCAGAAAAAGAAATGCGAGAATATTAGAGAGAACGCAGAGAGCCAAAGTCCAACAAGAACAACAAAGGACTGTGTCGGATGAAGAACCACACACATCAACCCATTCACCACCCCAGAAGCCAAAGGCCATTTCCCAATATTATTAAGTGAGACTGAATCAAGCCAAGCATTCCAGAAAATTTAAAGCTAAAGATGTCTACAGTGTGAATTTTAAGGAATTTCCAGAGGAGGAAAACAGAGGCTTTGTTCGGCGATTATTTAGAGACATGCTACAAAATGTCAAATATCAAATGCAGTGTAATCCTAACGATTACGTACGCCTGAACATACGCCATCCTTCTCTGGATTCCGACATTTGGTACGAGTTTACGCAATGTAAACATTTAAACGAGGACGTCATTTTAGACAAAATAGAAGCCGTGCAACAATCCAAGAAGGATTTTAAACTGGGAGACGGGGCCATGGAATTCGACATGTTTCGGGTCAAGTATCCGGAAGGGAGTGGTGGAGACAAAACCAAACATCTGATGGTCAACAAGGAGAGTTTTAAGAAGGGAAAAAGAAGTATCCTTCAGATCGACAATCCCTGGGATCAGTTTTGTTTAGCTAGGGCCATCGTAGTCACCCGGTTATACAGTCAAAAACCTGAACATCCAGAGAGTTTAGTTCAATGGGAAAAGCGATGGATACGTATGCGGAAGGGTGATTACAAATATTTAGACCAGAAAAACGAAGCCCTAGCTCTCATGGAACAAGCCGGCTGTGATATCCATCGGCCTTGTGGACCCGAAGAATGGGGGAAATTACAACAAGTGTTAACCCCTCGCTATCGACTGAAAATATTCCAGTTCAAGTCCACCTCCTCTAAACTCACCTTAGAACCCGTTTACAAAGGCTACGGAGAGGGAACTTGTTTGAATGTCCTGTTAGACGACCATCATTACGATGCCATCATATCTATGCCTGGTGTGACGGGCAATCAATACTACTGTGATCATTGCGACCTGGGCTACAGTCATATTGAACACCATCGTACCCAGTGCCCTCACCGATGTAATTTTTGTTTAACTGACACTCCCTGCCCTCCAGACGGGAGCCGCATTCAATGTAGCCAGTGCCAGGGATTTTTTAAGAGTAGGACTTGCTACGAAAACCATCTGCAGCCTCACAGTATGAATACGGCCACCACGGTATGCAGTTTAATGGGACGATGTAGGCACTGTCAGAAATGGATGCCTAAAAAATTACTCCCTCATCATCATTGCGGAGGACAGAAACAATGTAAGATCTGTAAGAAAACCGTAGACACGGATCATCAGTGCTACGTTCAACTCAAGCCCGAGAAAAAGAAGAAGAAAGGCAAAGAGACCTTACAGTTCTACATCTATTTCGATTTCGAATGTACGCAGGAAACCGGCATCCACGTCCCTAACCTGTGTGTGGCACACCGCGTATGTCAACATTGCGGTCACTTACCCATAGAAGATCCCTGTCCTCACTGTCGACACATGGGACCCCGTCAACACGTGTTCCGAGGGCCAGAGACCTTAAGGCAGTTCATGGACTGGTTATTACAACCCACTACAGGAAATAAGAATTCCGCCTTATTACACGACGAGGCCATCATCATCGCCCACAATTTCAAAGGATACGACGGACAGTTCATTTTAAATTACCTGGTTCATTCCGCCTGCCTGAAACCTACCGTCATCATGAACGGCAGTAAAATCTTATCCATGCAAATCTGCGGACTGAAATTCATCGATTCCTATAATTTTTTACCTTTTGCCCTGTCCAAGATGCCCTCTGCTTTCGGATTCACCGAACTGAAGAAAGGATATTTTCCACACTTTTTTAATACGGAACACAACCAGAATTACGTGGGGCCTTATCCACCGGCAGCTTACTACAATCCCGACGACATGTCTATAAGTGGACGACAGGCATTTTACCGATGGTACGAACAACAAGCCGGAAAAGTGTTTGACTTCCAGAAGGAATTTTTAGAGTACTGTGTCTCGGACGTCGATATTTTACGACGATGCTGTGCTCAGTTTAGAGCCACCCTCAAGAGCTTGGTCCATGTAGACCCCTTCCAGGAATCCATCACTTTTGCCAGTGCGGCCAATTTAGCCTACCGTCGAGGATTCATGCCCAAAGAGACCATTGCCATCATTCCCAACCTGGGGTATCAGCCTGCGCGTCGATATTCCGCCAAAGCCTGTCGGTGGTTAAGCTGGATGAGTCACCAGACCGGATCTCACATCCAACATGCTAGAAACGGGGGAGAAGTCAAGATCGGAAGTTATACCGTCGACGGATACCAGGAAGCCACTCGCACCGTCTACGAATTTTACGGATGCTATTGGCACGGATGCTCCACCTGCTATCCGAATTTACAGACCGAAAGTCATCCTCACCGGACCCAATTTACCTGAATTACACGAGGAAACTTTAAGACGGAGTTCTGTTTTAGAGGAAATGGGGTACTCCCTCCGTAGCATCTGGGAGCACGAATTCGATCAACAGGTACAAAGAGAGGTAACTCTACAGAATTATGTACGAGACCTGGACATTCCAGATCCTTTGAACCCCCGAGACGCCCTGTACGGAGGTCGGACGAATGCCACTAAATTATATTGTGAGGAGGGGGACATGAGATACGTGGACGTCTGTTCCTTATACCCTTACGTATTAAAACACAGACCTTTTCCCCTAGGCCATCCTCAGATCATAACAGACCAATTCCAGGACGTGAGAACTTATTTCGGCCTCATTCACTGTCGGGTCTTACCACCCCGAGGCCTCTATCACCCCGTTTTACCTTATCGCACGGGAGGCAAGTTATTATTTCCCTTATGTCGAACGTGTGCGGAACGACAGGACTCTACCTCTAAACATCGATGTCAACACGCAGACCAGGAACGCAGTCTTACGGGTACCTGGGTGACTACAGAATTACATAAAGCCCTGGACATGGGATATACCCTAGAGCGGATTTACGAAGTTTGGCATTTTTCACAAAGCAGTCGAGATTTATTCAGATCTTACATCGATACCTTCTTAAAGATCAAACAGGAAGCTTCTGGATTCCCACCTGATTGTCAGACGGAGGAACAGAAACTAGATTACATTCGTAAAGTCTTAGACAGAGAAGGGATCAGGATGGACCTGTTAAGTATAGAAAAAAATCCGGTGCTAAGAACCATAGCCAAACTCTTTTTAAATTGCTTGTGGGGAAAATTCGCTCAACGCCTGTTATTACCTAAAACTCGATACTTGACCGAAGAAGAGGAATTACAACAACTCTTACAAGATTCGACCATTGACATCAAAGGGATAGAACTCCTAGAAAATAAAGAGCAGGCCGAATCGGACATGATGCTGGTTAATTATCAAGAGAAACAGGAATTCGTGGAAGAGTGTCCCTTCGGAAACGTGGTACTGGCCTGTTTCACTACCGCCCATGCCCGATTACACCTCTACGAGACTTTACAACCTTTGGGAGATCGGGTCCTTTATTTCGACACGGACAGTATCATATACCAACATGAGGAGGGACAATTTAATCCTACCCTTGGCAACAGTTTAGGAGAATGGACAGACGAATTAGACGGGGACCACATTATCAAATTCATGTCAGGAGGCCCCAAAAATTATGCTTACCTCACCGCCAAGGGAAAATCCATGTGTAAAGTCAAAGGATTGACTCTCAATTATCGGGCCTCTCAGATCGTGTCACCAGAGACTTTAGAAAAAATGCTCCAGAAAGAAATTGACGAAATCCAAGTCTCGTATCCCTACAAAATACAGAGGACTCGTCAACATGAAGTCAAGACAATACCTTTAAAAAAACAATATAGAATTGTCTATGATAAGAGACAATTGATGGAAGATTATAACACTTTACCTTATGGTTATTAAAAAAAAAAAAACAAACTGTATTTTAAATGTTGTTGTCATTTTATGGGGAAAACCCCCAAAAATGAGGGGTTATAAAAAGGGGGGAAAATAATATAACACTTCAGTCATGGCTGGTGTTGATAAGGAGCCAGACTACCTTCCTGTTTACCCTAAATATGCTCTGCTCTTAAAGAGAGAAGCTACCTTTGATGATCGATGGCCCGATTCTTTAAAAGGATTAATACCCGACCTAGCCAAAGCCGGATTTTATTACAGAGGAGTGAGTGATAAGACCATCTGTTTTCATTGTGGTATGACTTTAAACCTCTGGGAACCTACAGACGATCCTTATGCAGAACATGCTTATTGGAACCCTAATTGTCCCTACATCAATACCTATGAAGGACGTGAGTGGGTGATGAATGTATTCATTAACCATTTACTCCGGGCGGGATACAAACCTTCACCTGAAATCAAACCTCTACTAGACCAAACCTCTACAGAGATCCAGGCAACAGGAAAATGTCACATTTGTTTAGAGAGAGAATTACAAATGGCTTTACTCCCTTGCGGACACGTATGTTGCTGTTCATTATGTGCTCCCACCTTCCGGTATTGCCCCATCTGTCGAGCCGATGTGAAGAGAACCCAGCGTATATTTCTGTGTTGACTATGAATAAAAAGGATTGAAACCTTATTTTTCCCTTCATTTGTCATCATGCAACCTGAGGAGACACTCCCGTCTTTTCAATTGAAACACGAATTTACCATGGTGGTAGCAGGACCTTCTAAATCGGGAAAAACGGAATTTGTCAAGAAATTGGTGGAAAATTTACATTGGATTACCCCCATGCCACAAAAAATTGTCTGGTGTTATCGGGAATGGCAACCTGCTTACACTACTTTAACAGATCGGGTCTCCTTCATTCGAAATATTCCAGAAGACGATGAGAAATTAGTGGCCAATATAACTATTCCTCACTTACTCATTTTTGACGACATGATGGGAGGAAAAGCCATCGAATCCATCGTGGATTGGTTTACCCGTAAAGCGCATCATCGGAATACCAGTGTGATTTACATCACTCAGAACTTATTTGATCGAGCACCACAGCATCGCACCATTAGTTTGAATGCTCATTATTTAGTGTTGTTTAAAAATCCCAGAGACAAATCTCAAATCAGTGTCTTGAGTCGACAGTTAGCCTTACCTCATTTGATGTCGGCCTATCAAGAAGCCACCAGTGTTCCTCACGGGTATCTCCTGGTGGACTTGAATCCACAGACCCCAGACGAATACAGATTGAGAAGTCGATTGTTTGAATGGTTAACTATACACATGCCACAAGAGTATAAATAAAAATGTATCAACATTACACTTGTCATTCATCATTATACAGTCATCATGGGTCGACCTCTCTCGGCCAAGAGTAAATTAGTGAAAACCTTACGACGTTTACAGCGGGAACGAGATCCTGCCAAGCGAGCCCATTTAATCGAATTAGGGCGTAAAGCCTTATTGAATTGGTTTGCCATGGGAGCTCGAAATTTGATACGTGGGGTCTTACCCATCAATAAACAGACTCAAAAGTTTATTAATAATCATCGTCAAGATTTAAGCATCATAGCCGATAAGTCGGCGAGTGATCAAGACAGAAAAAATGCCATTTTAAAACGCGGAGGAGCCGGATTTCTAGGCGGAGTCATCATTCGTCATTTATTTAAATGGAATGCACCTAAGAAACGACGTGTCCGTCGTTTGAAAAGTGTGGTAGTGCGAGTCGATAATAAGAAACAAAGAGTGTTTCCCGACTGGATGGTCCGAGTAGGAGGAGCAGCTCAAAAGACCAGAAAGAAGAGAAAACCTCCTAAGAGAAAACCTACTCAAAGAAAAGCCCCTGGTGGTAGAAAGAAGAAAAAAACCACTCCTAAAACTCCAGCTCAACGAAAAGCCATGCCCGAAAGTCTAAAAAACGAAATCAATCAGTATTATAAGGAACAAAGACAAAAAACTATTGGGGAGTTATTAAAGAAACAAGCTGAAATGAGAATGGATCGTCCTATGGGGCCCATAGGCAGTCAAAGAGCTACCGATTTAGAAGTGTTTCCTCGAGTCAATGTGGGAATTCCCTCTCCTAGAATTAAAGTCCCCATTCACACTCCTAAAATAGCACGCTTTCAACCTCTGACCGCTTCTACACCTACACTTCCTAAAGGAATGAGATATAAATGTCGATATTGTTCCAAAATCTACGTCACCCAGAAAAATAGAGACAAACACGAGAAGGACAAACACGACATGTATGCTCCTCCTCCTTGAGAGTATAAAAAGGAGAGAAACCTGGGACATGTCCTCATTTTAACCCCAGGATGGCTAAGAAGAAGAAGAAAAGAAGGACTTGTTGTTCTACACGATTAAAACCTCATTGGCCTCTTTTAAGAGTGTTATCTGACCCTCACTATTCCTCTCCATTAAAGACGGGTATTTTAAAACATTGTTCTGGAGATTGTATTCTCAAAATCTGCGAGATCGTGTATAACCTATTAAAAGGAGTGTTACCTCTCAGTTCGGCTCATAAACGAAAACTAGCTCCTAAGAAACACATCTTCAGGAGACTGGTCAAACCTCAATCTATCCGTAGACGACGAGCTTTGTTAGTCCAGCAAAAAGGAGGCTTCTTCCCTCTCTTAGCAGCAGCCGCTCCTTTACTTTTGGGAGCAGCTTCTTCCCTCCTAGGAAAATGAGTCGTAAAATGGTGTTAGTTCCCGAGGTCTTATTGAACGATCTCAAGGCAAAATTACCCAAACCTCCGGAATTTCAATCCACCATCAGTTTAGGTCAGGAATTGGACGAGATTACAAGACGTGAAGATTTAACCCCAGAAGAAAAAGTCGCTTTATATGGCCAGGAACTTCATCGATATAGGAATTATTTACAACAAGCTAGACAGGAACCTATTTCTAAACCTAAAATTTCAGCAGCTCCAGCAGCAGGAGCAGCTCCAGCAGCAGCAGCAGCATCACCAGCAGCCCCAGCTGAGATTGAAGATGAAATCCTTGAAACAGTGAATAAAAACATGAAAAGAAAAGCAGGATTATTATTAAATCATTTAAAGAAAACCAAGGTGTTGAGTTGGAATAAGGAAGGTGAAATTAGTTATCGAGGTCAAAAAGTTCCCGATTCTAACATTGTGGATTTAATGGCTGATAGTATGAGATCTCGTTCTCGTAAAAACCATCCCCCTCCTAAAGGATTAGATGAATTTGCTCAAGCTTTAAAAGAGACGCGTACTCCTCTGGAATACCTGAGCAATGGAAACCTTATAAAAGCCATGCAGAGACCTGGAAAAATCAGTACTCCTAAAAGTATCTTCAGTGATAGTGAGGACGAGGGCGATAGTGGATTTAAAGATGCTTCTTCATTTTTGACCCCTGTTAGTAGACCTGTAGGAGATAGAGGAATAAAAAAATCCACTCCTAGACCTCTGTTAAATTTAGCGAAGGCCATCAAAAAATCTAAATTCAGTCCAAGTTTACCTAAAAAGAGATTAGAACAGATCGACGAAAATTGGCTTTCATTACCTAAGATATGAAAAAGAAACCAGTGGAAGACATTTTAAAAGAGATTTATTATGATCCTAAAAGAGGGTACGGAGGACTACAAGCTTTGTATCGTCAGGTCAGAAGTCTGGGACATAAGATTTCCTTGAAAAAGATTCGAGAATGGTTAAAAGAGCAAGATGCGTATACCTTACATAAACCCATTCACAGAAAATTCCGGAGACAACAGACTAGAGTGACGGATATAGACGAACAATGGCAATTAGATTTAGCAGATGTGTCCAGTTTAAAGAAACACAATGACGGTTATACTTTTTTATTGTGTGCCATTGACGTCTTATCTAAATATGCCTGGGTGGTGCCTTTAAAACAGAAAACGGGAAAAGAAATGATTTGAGGATTACGAGAGATTTTTCAACAAGAAGGTCGACGTCCCGTCCGCATTCAATCCGATCAAGGAAAAGAATTTACCAATCGAGAATTCTTACAGGCTTTTAAATCCATTCATTTTTTTACCACTCGTAATACGGACACCAAAGCCAGTATCGTGGAACGATTTCAGAGAACTCTCAAAGCACGCATGTGGCGCTATTTCACCCGTCATAAAACCAGACGGTATTTAGAGATCTTACCGGATTTAGTGTATGCTTACAATCACACTTATCATCGCAGTATCCAAAGAGCACCAGCTCAAGTGAATGCTTCTAATGTGTTAAAAGTCTGGAAAACTTTATATGGGAAATCCAATCGGAAACAGTTTCCTAAACCTCAGTTTAAGGAAGGAGATCGGGTACGCATCAGTAAAGCCAAACGCACATTTGAAAAAGGATATTTACCTAACTGGACCACAGAACTGTTTACCATTTCTAAAAGAGTTCCTGGAAGGTATCCTTACGTGTATAGAGTGCAAGATTATAACGGAGAGGAATTAGAAGGGACTTTTTACGAGAAAGAATTACAAAAGATCATTAAAAAAGACGACGTGTACGAAGTGGAGGAAATCTTGGGGTATAAAAAGCGACGCGTAAGGAAAAAAATCATTCAAGAAGTCAAAGTTCGGTGGAAAGGATATCCCCCTAGTTTCGATTCATGGATTCCCCAAACGGATCTCATCCAATAACTCCTCATTGGAAATTTTGTGGAGAGAATGTTCCTCGAGAAGAAATCGTTTATTTCGCACAATTATTGATCTGTGTATCTCTCATCGTCACCAGTGTGGTCATGTTAGCTTTACACGATCCTAATCGAGAATATTGGATGGTATGTGTCAGTTCCTCAGTGGGTTATATCATGCCTAGTCCTACGATGATGCATCATACACCTACCCCTAAGAAGACCACGAATGCACAGAGTTAATGTCTTTTTTAAAAAAAATAGATACACCACAGAGTGTATATAAAATGGGGAAACAACAAAGATTTTTTTCATTTCTGATCTGACTGAGGACAGACATGGAATTT